CTATGATATCTGAGTATGATATCCTTCGGCCCTTGGGCTGATATTGCAGTCTCGGTATGATACTGGGTGTGATATGGAAAAAGGCATGTACTATTCTCTATATCTCTCAAACTATTAAGGTGATATTAGTATCGATGTTAACATATCGTTTATCATGCTATTTGTCAATTTATCAAAATATTCAAATACTTAAATACGTTTCTTCCCGTGTACGTCGATTCACATGTTACAGGAAAGGAAAAGGGGTAATGGTTTAACCGTAATTCAAACCACAACCACATTCGTCCCTCCTTCAACAGTCCTCAAAGATGCATAGAAAAATGAACCATATGCAACAAAAGTATGTCAACTCCGTAACAAATTAAAACCAACAAAGAAAACAAAGTTGAAATTTCTATCGGCAGTAAAACATGCTATTGTAATGCAAACTTTAACGACAAACAACACGAAGATAGTGCATGTCGTTTTATTATGCAATTTCACATCATGCAAACAACACTAGGCACCAATTTTTTTGTTCTCGTATGGTGGACATGGCAGAGAGCCACACTTGTTCACCACAGGACGGACCAGTACTCCATCATCGTTCCCTTGTCCACCCGGAACTGGCTGTGGATGTCCATCCATACTTATGTAGTCCGTGTTCGAAGGATGATCTGGGTAGCCAGCGACAATAAAGTCACTTNGTGGACGTCCATCCATACATATGTAGTCCGTGTTCGAAGGATGATCTGGGTAGCCAGCGACAATAAAGCCACTGTAAGCCTCAACCCAGCCCGGGAAACACGCTGTCCTCCCGGGGATCATAACTGAGGTGGCGTGAACGGAGTTTCTGCAAACAGCACAGGAAACATCTTCGTCATTCTGCGGGAGGCCAAACAGGTCATACCCTGGTTGAATTTCGGCGCCGTATATGAAGCCTGAAAATGTATTATAGTGGCTCTGTCCAGGCGTGGGGTCCTCCGGCATACACAATAAATCCCCAGCTCCACCAGAGTGATTGTAGTATTCTCCTTCTACGAAACCTTCGCAACGATAAGAAACACACTAGGAAGGTTTTGCGACAAAACAAACAAAAGATAAAATATCCAATAGCAACCAGAAAGGTGACGTCGTTAATAGAAAAGTAAACTATTATACTTACCCGAATACACAAGAATTGTTCCGTTCTACACAGGACAGTCATTCCGGCCCCATCTGGTAAAAACTGTACCCTTGCCACTCCCTGTTTAAAGAAGTGTTTGCTTAATCAGTCGTGCGTCAGTTATTCAAGAAAAGGTCATTATTTTTCTTCACAAATGGCACACAACTTTCCTACATATTAAAAAACGAGAACACCGCAATGTAAATACACCCGTAGTCACAAGCACAGAATTGAACAACAGGTCCACAATATTAACTTAAACAATGGTATACTTATACACCGATATCCGTGATACATGTTTCGTATAAGTGGCTTTACATTTTATTCTTTTTGGTATGCACTAAAATATTACCGAGGTTTATAAAGTAAACATTGTTATCAATTAGTTATGAAACTACAATCAAATATTTATAAGCATAGAAATAATAGCGACATTACAGACACATAATTGTGACACCTGTTCAAACAGTCCGCCACTTTATCATGACATAAGCATGAATACTTACATATCACAACAGATAGTACACAGATAAACAGTCACCATGAGACAATGCTACATAAAATTCATCACAGAAAACTAACGATCACTTTTTACTATATGCGGATGCTCATAGATATACAAAAAGTATGTTATTTCGTCTGAGTTATAAAACAACGTCGAATAATTAAATAATAATCAATAATAATTCGAGCTTCTTATACACCGCTTTATCACAACCTAGTTCGTATGTCGTCTCAAAGCGGTTCACAAATTATTATCCTAGGTTATCGGGCCTTTGCCAATATCTTTCTCACCTCCCTGGGGAGCATACAGCCGGTGCTGCCATTTCGGCGCTCACAGCTAGCATTCAATAATTCTAGCACTGCCCAACCACGTATTCATTTACAGCTGAGTAGACTGGAACGAGCAGAGTAAAGTATCTTGCTCAACACAATGTCGTGTCGTGACTCGAACTCGCAACTTTTTGGCCACGAGCCTGGTGTCCTACTACTAGACTACAATGCTTCCGAATAATGATACGTATTACCTCTTTGTGTTATTGTTGCAATGGCCGACTGCTGACTGGTAATGGTGTGCTGGAGGTTGATAATTGTCTGTGCCTGGACGTCCATGGTATACTTCTGAGTACTCATGGTACTCTGTAGACTGGCGATGGTTTGTTGTTGGGAATTAACTTGAACCCTTAGATCCTGTAGTCATTTAACTGTATTCTTCTCTCCGTGGCGGAGGCTACCACACACAGAAAAATACATCCGAACAATGGAACGGTGTTAAT